GTGTGTAGCCGTTGGCGTTGGGGTTTGGCTAGATGTGGAGAAGACTTTGAAAGACTTTCCATTTTTTTTTTTTTTAATATCAGAGGATAATGACTAATGAGTCTTTCTAACTAACTTTTAATTATTTAAAATAATGTGAAAATAAAAAAATTAGTTAAAAGTCTATTTTAGTCTTTTTCATTTTAATAAACAAATTTTAAGTTTTTTTACTTAAAATTTTTTAATTCTTAAAGTTTTATTATTTGATCTCTTTTATTTCTTTTGTTATTTTTTTCCACAAGTGACATATTAAATGATAAGAATTTTAAAATAAAAGAATAAAAATTGATCAATTGTTAAAGTAAAAGAACTAAAAAATAATTTTTTTTAGTTGTTTTAATCCCTTTAATTTATAATTTTTATCATCTAATATGTCAATATGTTAAAAGATAATGAAAGAATTAAATATGAGTTACGTAACAAACTTTAGGACTTAAAAACAAGTTTTTTAAGTAAAAAGACTAAAACTAAATTTTTTGTTAAAGTAGATAAATTAAAATAAGATTTTAACCAAAAAAATTTATGATTATTTTGGTGAAAAAATCTTAAAAAATATTTCACATTCATATTTTTGGCCCAGGGTGTTAGTGTGTTGTAATAGACCTTGATTTTGCAGGGAAATAAATTTGTTGCATCCAATATTTAAATCAATTGCAACAGGTTTGATGAGATTTTCTCATGTAATACGACCACATCAAATGTAGACATGATACACGTTGTTATGAAGTTTAGTTTTTGTTAGGTGAGATAACAATCGAGCTTAATAGAATGTAATTCGATCTGAACTTGATGGTTGGTACCAATACCATGTAGGTTTTCGAATTCTTTGACATGGATTTTTCCCTCCCAACATTCTGTAACGAAGTTTTCACAAGAAAAAAATTTCTGCAATGAAGCTAATTTTATGAAAGAGAGTTTAAAATAAAAAAAGAATAGAGCATTTGAGTTCAAAAACAGGGGAAACAAGGGACAAAGAAGTTGGAGAAGCAAAAGGAAATCTTAGATTACAATTCATCCAAAACTTTGCTTGAATGGCTAAAATAGAGGTCCAAATTAAACAGGAAGAATTTGATATTGACCCATAACAATCTGGATTGGAATGAATGTTGTGGTATTAACAACACTGTTAGAAAACCAGGTTGTTGTAGGTTGATGTTATACCCAATTAGGTCTAAGTAACCTATATAACACAATCGAAGAATTAATAATAGTGTCTTTAATTTGCACAATTCATGAACAATTCATGAACAATACATTTGCCTCAGAGCATAAATTAGTGTATGCAAATCTTTGTTTTTGGGGGAAAAAAAAATCAATGCATTCAAATAACAAATATACAATCACTTCAATGGAGAAGGCAACAAGTTTTCTGTCAAGTCATCCAGCAAACATCCGGTAGAATCAACCCCGCACGATGGAATCCAAATATGAACCAATAAGAAAAAGGGGGCAAATAGAATATAAAACTAATTAACACGAAAACAAACAGAATCCAAACGTGAACCAACACAAAGAAAGTAAAGAGAATAAGGAACAATCGCAGACCATGAAAAGTCGTCGGTACCGTTCGTATCGGGCCAATATGATTGATACGTATTGGTTTTTTTAATAGCCTGAAATAGTACATGATTCAATTTTATTTTGATCAAATTTTGTTTACTTTAGTTAAATTTTAACGTATCGATCATTATTTCGAAAATACAAATCAATTCAAATTTAAAAAAAGTAAATTTTATTTTTGGTTTTTAATTTTAATGTTTTGCATAATTTTTATTTTTTTATTTTTTTATTTTTTTTAGTCCATTAACTATGAAAAATATATATTTTAATCATTTTATTAGTTAATTTGTTAAGTTTTTCAAATTTAAATTTTATTAACTATGAAAAATATATTTTTTAATCATTTTTTAATCAACCGATACAAACCAATTCAAATTTAATATTTTACATAATTTTCATTCTTTAATTTTTTTATTTTTTTAATCCATTAACTATAAAAAATATATTTTTTAATCATTTTATTAGTTAATTTGTTAAGTTTTTCTAAATATGTACATCTAATATTTAAAAAAAAAGAAAAAAATTATGAATATTTTATAAAATGAGTCATTTTAAATTTATTTTTAATTTATGAGAATATGATGGTTTTAAATATTAGTTTATTTTCTTATTATTTTTAAATTTTATATTTAATTTATAAAAATATATATTTATAGTGATAAATCCAAAACGGTACACGAAAAATTCTAATATTCAGTACATTCCGTTTTAATAGTAAAATCGATACATATATTGATACAGTATTGGCAACTTTGCATGAAAGACAACTCCCCTTATTCATCATGACCAATGTAGGTGTCTCCTTGTTGCTTGATAAAATTCACATTCCTTCCTGGACTAGCTAGTAATACCAGTCGTAGTAGCCAGTCCAAAACGCAACATTTAAGTTGGAAGGTGGGTTTAAGGTTTCAACTACATAACCTAGGTCCATGTTGTGAACCAGATCAACCTTCATCTTCTGCAAATGGATCTTATCATGAAGTCTTGCTCTCCTAACCACATCTGCATCTATGGAATAACCAACCAAACTCACCCAAAGCCGGCAAAGGTGGCACAATATTTCCAGATCACCAATACAAAATTCTTTAGGATCATTGTGATCAACCCTAGCGTTAACCCCATCCAACTCCCTGAGAGAAGTTAATCTCCCCATTGATTTTGGGGGCCAAGTTAGAGAAGGCCAACCGGCAGCATTGAAAAACCTCAAGTTGATCAATTTCCCAATCCCCTCTGGTAGTTCTTGAAGACCATCGCAAAATTTTAGATCCAAAGATAGCAGATTGCATAATTCACAGATAGCTTCAGGCAGCTTTTTCACATCCACAGAGAAGGAGAGGTAAAGGTGTCTCAAATGCATCGATTGCCCTGTTTCATCAGGAATTTCATTTCTGAACTGATTAAACCCAACAGGGCAACGAAAATCAAGCAAACGCAGACGGTTTGACTGTTTAAATAAGTTGCTCAATGCTACATTACTTATTGCTACCATTCCACAGAAGGTTACCACACTCCGCAGCTTTTCTGTGCCATGAATTGAGGCAGGAAAAGAAATTTGTTCTGCCAGCATTGCTGTCAAATGGCGAGCATCGGACTTTAACTCCACTGTTGAGTTACGGGAAGCAACCTTCTTTGTTACAAAATCTCTCTCTGAAAAACCGGACAAAGTCATAAAAAATTAGTAGTTATTATGTCATAAAGCCCGTTCCCTTAGCCTACCCTGATTTGTGTATCAATAACTTTTACAAATTTAAATCTCAGAAGTGTGAAGCACACCGACAATTGCCAAAGAATATACAGTTGCTTCCGATGAAAAAAGATATTCATAATGAAGGGACAAAAGTAGGCAGTAATTACTAATTAGATGTTCATAAACATTTAAAACAACTTGAGAAATATATAGGCTTAATTCAATAATTAATCTATTAACTATCATTTTCATTTTATTTTAGTCTAAAATTTTTTTTTTCTTTCTAAATGATTTATAAACTTTGGGTAATATTTCAAAATAGTTTACTATACAAAATTTTTGTTAGATTTAACGAAAAAGAGCAATCTTTTAAATTTTGAAAAAAATGATACTATAATTTTAATAAAATATGATGACTCAAGAAATATTTTATAAAGATAAATTAGTTAAAATTTGCAATAAAATTAAGCAACTAACTTAATTCAAATTGAGAAACTTAATAAATTTAGAACAAAAAGTTTAAGAGTAAATCTGTTTTACAAGACGAATTATATGTAGTTTATTTTGTAAAATTATTTAAATGCCTTTAAAAAGATAATATAAAAATAAAATTAAAAGCATTTAAATAATTTTACAAGACGAACTGCATATAATCTATCCTGTAAGATAATTTTTTTTAGAACACATTTAGTAAGATAAAAATAAAAATTATTTTTACGGTAAATATAAATTTAAAAACTAAAAAATCATAAAATATAGTTAGAGGACTAATTATTTAAGTAGATTTTCGTTAAAAATAACGGATTAAATGAAATTAAAATAAATGTGAAGTATAATAAACAAAATTGAAAGATTTAAAAGATACTAAATAAAATTAAAAAAAAAAATGCCCATGAGTTAATAGAAGTATTATTTGTCACTTATTTCAATCAAAATTTAAAGACTCTTCACTTTTTTTTCCTCCCTCGTTTTCCTCTCTTATTTCTTAAAATTTTACTAATTAAAAAAAAAAAAAACAGAAATATGTCTGAAAAACAACAGGATGTGACCAGTTCCCTAGTAGCCTTTTTCTGGGTGACCGTGTGTAGCCGATGACATTGGGGTTTGGTTAGATGTACAGAAGACTTTTGAAGA